TAGGGGATCCGTCCATGTCTGCGACGGCAACGTCCATTTTCTAACCTCATGAGCACCAGTTCCTGATGATAATGTTCTCGTATATTAGTTTGTTCCCGGCTGAAATCCTTAAGCGCCAAGTGCTGACGCGGTGGTATCTCCTCCCGACCAGACGAAACCATTGTTAGGTGTTGGAAATCGAGGATGAGCAAGCGTAGCAGTCCGATTTGGGCATAGGTACGTAGCGGATCACTCTCTTGAAGTTTGTCCTACTAATATGGGTAGCCTGGCGACCATTCAAGGATTGCCCATATTTCCCATGCTTCTCTCACTCATACTGGGATTGATTGCCGTACACAATCTGCTTGAAGGAAGCCTAATGTCTTCTAGATTGACGATTCCTGCACTCCTAACCAAGAGTACACCTAGCCGCCACCGCATCAGAGGCGAAAGGCGACACCGAGCCGGAGCACAACCAACGTGTTGAGGCCACCATCATCACAGCGTGTTGCTCTGCCGATAGATATCCCTGCGTTCTCGACCCAGCTGCCCATCAAAAAATGCTCCTATCTCCCACGCTCCCCTGCTCACACTGGTCGCGTTTTCCATGCACAATCTACTTCGAAGAAGATTAAGCTCGCTCTGAACTATCTACCTTTTCTAGATGAGGGTTCCTGCACCCAAAATCACGAGTACACCGATCAGTAAGGCCTCATGAGAATATTAAGGTAACTCAAGTCGGTTCAAAAGCGATGTGTGGACGCGTTTATCATAATCGCGCGTTGCTCTCTCTCTTGAAACGTTTCTCCTGCGCTAATCGGCCCGGATGCGTATCGATGAGTATCCATACCCGTAACATTTCTCTCTTTCAACCTCGTTTCGTTTACCGCACCCAGTGTGTTCGTCAGTCGCTCAAACCCTACCCTCGATGGAGGCTTCCAGCTCCTCCAAACCACTAGCGCAATCTACAAACTTGGCAACCGGATCCCATCATCGTTACAAGGTAAATCACGGGGTGAATAAAGCATGAACGCCACCATCCGTGAGGCGTGTGCCTTGAAACATCGAACCAATCGACACAGCCACGATATTGGCTACAGTCTGTTTCCGCTTCGCGTTTGCAATAGTCTCGGGTGGTAGGCATTGCGTGAAGCTTTACCATGTCATGGGCTAGGCTGACGGTTGCAGGACATACAGTCGAAACCACATCAATCTCGAGGCAGGTAAGTCCCGTTATCACCGTCGAGAGAGCTTGCACCAATCCTCGGCAACGTCAACAAGGGCTTTTTTGCTCATTTCGCCTGCAATAAATAAACGTATTTATCGCATGGAAAAGGACGAAGAAGGGCAAAAGGGAGTGACGACCAGAAACACCGAAAAACAGCAGTTCGCCACGAGTCTGGCCCGAAAATACTTGTACTCTCAGAAGTTTCCTAGACCGGCGTGGTTCGCAGGGGATGGAGGCCGCCTGCGTAACCCAGTGCGGCGTTGAAGCTCCGCTTGACATGTCGAAAGTCCGCCTCGGAAGTCGCCATTATCTGAAGAGGACACGGCGTTCTCAGAAGACCGCACCTCGAGCGACCTGTTGCGGTCGATTACCTTCTTGCCCGTCTTGCAGGGGAGGGGACGAGAGTGTCCATCCAAGGCAGAGGAATCAGGCCTCAGAACAGGGCGAACATGTACCTGTCCCGCGCGTTTGAAGGAGGAAATGGGCGGAAGGAGCATCATGAATGAGGGAACAAGGGAAGCGCTACTATTTTGCAACATCCCCCGTGACTTGCCGTTCATCCGTCCGGGGAAATTGATGGTACCTTGTTGGAAGCAACCACGGTGGTCTTGACCAACACGTTGCGGACGAGACGATCAAACGGGAAGACAACAGACTGGCAGCAGACACCCCAAACAGGGAACAAATGGAGAGCATCGAAGCTGACTCACAATACACATGGTGAGGGCCGTAGCACAGTAGCAGTAATCATTGTCAAGGCATTTTGCGAAGATTCATGTTGACCATACATGTATGCTAACTTCGATATTGGACCAATATCCTTCGGTACAAGTATGAGCGGCACAGGGCCCGTGAGCTGCAAGGGAGAAACTCGGGGTAGCGGGAAGCGTCGCATGGCAAATCTTCCGATCCGAATTGCCTCATTCGCGGCACCTCTCTTGTGTAGTGCTTTCTTCGAGGGCACGGAATAAGAAAATTTCTCGTACAGATTGGACCGGGTTGGTCCCGGGCGAGTAACAGCCCTCGTAGAGATCTCCAACTTTTCGAGGCACGAACTACGGCCGCCTATCTTGAACGCGGCGTTGAGCGCGGATTACTGTGTCGCAGAGGCCCATAGTAGCCGGACAAACGGCTGCTCTGCTCTGTCCGACGCTGGATCTGCCATTGGAACACTCAGACAGGCGGTATGCCTCCCTTTGGATTCTTGACCGTCAGAAATAACCTTCACCTCGTTTGTTGGCTAACGGTTAACGAGGGAGATTCGGTTCGTTCAGCTTCCACACGGGAGAGGAGGTACTGCGTAAACCTAGCACTAGACAAAGAGGTTTTCCTGAAGCCAAGACGACAACGGCGACAGCAAAAATAACACCAACGGCCATCCGAAAACCCTTAACTCAAGCCTCACCCTTCGGCCACCCAGTAGTCCTCCGTGTGGTAGGTCACGGCTATCTTGATGGCTCCGAAGCGACCATCAACGGGCGAAGCGACCGGGCTTAATGGCACCCAGAGCGTAGTCCTGGTGAATGAGGGAGAGATTTCCTGAAGCCAAGACGACAACGGCGACAGCAAAAATAACACCAACGGCCATCCGAAAACCCTTAACTCAAGCCTCACCCTTCGGCCACCCAGTAGTCCTCCGTGTGGTAGGTCACGGCTATCTTGATGGCTCCGAAGCGACCATCAACGGGCGAAGCGACCGGGCTTAATGGCACCCAGAGCGTAGTCCTGGTGAATGAGGGAGAGATTTCCTGAAGCCAAGACGACAACGGCGACAGCAAAAATAACACCAACGGCCATCCGAAAACCCTTAACTCAAGCCTCACCCTTCGGCCACCCAGTAGTCCTCCGTGTGGTAGGTCACGGCTATCTTGATGGCTCCGAAGCGACCATCAACGGGCGAAGCGACCGGGCTTAATAGCACCCAGAGCGTAGTCCTGGTGAATGAGGGAGAGAGAGCGATGAGGCGCGGATTTTTTCGTGGACGTCTACCATGCTGGCGAGAAGAGTGCTTTGGTCGTGGGAGGGGCAACACGTGACAACGCCAGCGGGAGCCCCGCGTGGCAACACCTCCTCTTGCTGCATTGGATCAACTTGCATCTATTTTCTCGCCTTTGGTCGGGTTCGTATCGGAAGGTTGACATATTGATCGTCGTGGTTGACTGGGTAAACGTCTCGTGCTGCCCGGTCGTCCTGACGAACAACAAGATCGGAACGGAGGTAGGCAAATAGGTCGGTTGAGATTATCCACATGTCGGGAAAAGGACAGCTCGGGTCTGCCAGCCTCCAACCAAAATTTCGCCATAACTATCATCTCACTGCGTTGGTGAACGCCACAAATTTGGCTGGAATTTTCTCTGCTGCCGTTGATGGAGTGCTGGGTGAAACGTTCGTGTCACGCGCGTCCTCAAGCATTTCCTACCCTTCGTCAGAGTGAAAACTTACGACCATCTGTGTAGGTAGGGAAGAATGCACTGAACTGTTGCTGTTGCGTATAGTCCGTGCACAACAATTTGTCCAATTACGTTTTGTGCGATAACTTCGTTTGGAAAAAGAATTGGCACGTGAAACAACGATAGTCGTGACCGCCTCGTCGAGATACGTCGATAGCTGCAGAGTTTTTGTTTTTTGGCGATATGCAACATTTGTGGCAAAATCATTCACGGAAGTCCCCCAAACACGACATACCCCCTATGCATTCACGGAACCCCCTAACCGTGCCCCCTCAAGAGCCCTCTTGCCCCTCTACCACCTGCTCTAAATACACCACAACACCCCCTGTTTGCATTTGTACAGATACTATACCACGCTTGCTCGACAACACCCTCGAAGGTCAAGCACGCCAATGTACACACGTGAACGAATCTCCACACTCCGCACAGTAGTCTATACACAAAAAAATATAAATAGATATCACTACACTATACGATACAGCATGCACTAAACTAAACAAAACCTCGGGAGCAGTCAACCCTTCGTGGGTGCTAAAAGATAAATAAAGATCTGGTTGACGCACGTAGAGACACACACATCACGACGCAGTGTTGTCGGCCTCCTTCTCCTCTCCTCCCTGCGCCATGGCGCGCTTCCTCTTCCACTTCTTGAATGCCCTTTTCGCCCTCCTCGTGGACAAGGTTCGGCATTCCTGTGAAGCCGCCAACGCCTTCGCCGCCGCGGCCTCCTTGTCCGCTTGTGTCCTTCCCCCCCCCGTGGCCTCCACGACTACACCACTCATCGATGCTAAGCCCATGGCCCGAAGCTATCGACATGTTGCCGATGTTGCCGATGCTGCCGTTGCTGCTGCGGCGCAACTCCAATACGCCGCCGCCGCCGGGAGCGCTTGTGTGCGACTCAACCTCTAAGACCGTTGCTGACTTCTCTGCTAGGCCAACCTCACCACTGGCAGAGGAGCTCTCCTCCTCTTCCTGCTCCTGCTGCTGCTGCTGCGACATCCGGATGAACGCTCCCATCGCTCGTGCCAAGCCTACTGCTTGTTGCTGGAGAAGTTTTTTTCTGTTGCGAAATTGGTACGGATTTGGACAGATGATCTCGGAATTCCGCAGATGGGTATTTTTTAATTTGTTCGAACTCTTTGGAATTGAAGGAGATATCCAGGACAACTGGATCTAGGGGTCAAGTTGTTTCGTTTACAGCACAATAACTAACCAACCGATTTCAAAATAAACAGCGGCAAACGATTCCTCACATCAGTCCCTAGATGGGTATTTTTTGTTTTTCCAGGGAAAACTCTGGTTCTCGAGATATTCCACATTTTGTCGTGCCATGCTATCGGAGATTTTTTCGCTGTTGGGCAAGACGCTCCCACAACAAACTGGCACACGTGGCGGCCCGAATAACACGAGACACGCACGCAAGCAAGCAAGCACCATGGCACGGCCTAAGGAGAAGAAAATCGGCAAGCGCAGAGCCGATGGCCGGGCGGTTCCGAAGAAACCGAAGCCGGCGCAGCAACATGATCTTCCGTCACGCGGCGCTGGTGATGCGCTCTCCGACGGCCACGACAGCGCCGATTTGATGGACGTGGATCAGGAAGAAGGCAAGGCGGCGGCAGACGAGAATGGTAACGACGAGGACTGGTGCGATGAGGATACCAGCGGCGTACACAGCAATGGTAGAGGTCGGTCGATCCTGAGTTTTGCGAAGTGGTCGGTGGCGTCCGCAGGTCGCGATGCAAGAAGTGCGGCGAAAAATTATCCGCCGCGTGTGCTGTCGAGAAGTCTGAGTTTTTTGTGAATCGGCAAAAAACTCCACCCCCTAAAAACGAAGCAAGTTTTTCCGGTTTTTCGGAAGTAAAAAGTCAGGGAAAAAAAACAAACTAAAAACTCTCCGTCACGCCCTGCGCCTGCAAACAGGGCGATTGCCGGTACTTTCAGGTTTTCGAACAACCACCTGTGTGCAGAGAAAAGTTGCACTTTGTGCATGGGAAATTATTGGACAAATCGTTGTGCACGGACCGTTGGTTGACAAGAAGTACCTACTTTACATACAGATAGGATCCGCACTTAAGAACCTCTACTGTTGGCCGAGGCCGAGTTCCTCTTCTGGCCGCTATCTAGATTTTAGTGTAGAGGTTCACACGGGGTGTCAAGTTCTCATCTGGGATACAGGGTTGAGCATGAACTTCTTCACTGCAAAGTTTGCAAGTGTAGGCGTGATATGAACGTATCATCTGTCCGACGTTCCCCGATTCTTTACTTTGGATTTGGGGTTTCTATCCCGGCAAGCACACAATCGCAAGCAACCCTGCGCGCCACAGACATGAACGCCGACAATACCGTGGAAGGAGGTGCCTTTACGACCCTGGGGAAAGCTCCGGGGCTCAGATTGGTTTGGGTAAAACTCCACTGTCGGTTCCACGCTCAGTAATTTCATTTTTTCAAGGGTCACTTGGCACCCTTTTTGTTAGGCAAACACACATTTTGGGCGGGATTGCCCTACAGCATACAGGTTTTCGGCGGTAGGCGCAATAATTGCGAGTTGTGCGGAGGTAGCAACACGAAAACGCCGCGGTACTATTTTAAAGGTAACGCCTTATGGCGGCAATGATTTCGAGGTGAGCGGTAGTGTTGCGCTTTCCGGCGGTTCGGTGGTGGCAGTAAAACAAGAAAACGCCGGTATGCCGGTACCGCCCACCGGAGCGGAAAGTAATGCCCGATGGTCGTTAACGTCAAACGACAAACCAAACAAGGCGGCCATTTCCGTACTACGTTACTACACCCGAACGAAAGGCAACCTTCTCCTCCGACATCGTGGCTGAAGTCAATCCAAGGCAACCTTGTTCAATTTGACGTCAACGCATGCATGCGTATTGCGAAAAATGCCTCGATACAACGGTCGACGACATTCCTAAAAATACTAACGAATCATTGCGCCTGTTTTTTTTCATTCTTCGAGACATCTTTCGCTGGCAGAAGTCAATCTTTTCTCCCGCTTCCTCCTCAGGCTCACGCAGGGCAGGTCGTCGGTACAGTATCGCGCACACCCGAGGACCGCCAGCAACACGCGGCACGCGTGCTCGACGCTCAAAGTTGGAACAACTGGCTCTAACCCCGGGGACATGTTCTGCGCCACAAAAGTCTGCGCAGGAGTTATTACACACTCACTCATGCGCCACACAGAAATTACAAACCACGAGCAACGCCTTACAGAACACAAGAGCAAGAGAGAGAGCAAGAGAGAGAGCAAGAGCAGTGGGTTACACCAGTACGATCTGTGGCAAAGACACCGCTACCCTATCGTATGTGTGCTTGGGACTCACCACTTCAATTGCTACACAGGAGACAACACGGATGGACAAATAGGAAACGACACAGCTTCCGATAAAGGTTATTCATGGCCGGTTACCTATTGAAAATCAGAGGCTTAGGGTCTGCTAAGACTGTGTACTGCTGTAGCCAAGAACAGTTCCCTGGTGGTTTTGTTGGTGTTAGATTGCTTGGTGTGTTCTTTTCAGCGAACGTCAGATCTGCTGAAAAGAAGTCCTCACTACAAACAAGATGATACGCTGATGACGCAAGTCAGGAGTTTATCTGTTCAAGTGATCTGTGCTACGGCGGTAGCAGCAGTGAGCAAGCAAGGTAACAGAAGCGTGTGCCACACCTTGTTGACAGGTGTGCTGAGGTGCACTAGACGTGAGGCTACCACCAAATGGTATTTGGTTCAAAGAGAAAGGAAAAACAGATATTGTACAAATTTGTTGTATTGTTGAGCTCGGCAGGAAACAGAGTGAGCTCCGGTAAGGGGCGTGCGCTCTGCCTGGTAAGCGTTTTTGTCGATTACCGACGAAACTACGAAGAACCTTAGTACCGGTCCGGAACCGTTCCGGGAACGTTCTGGGAACCAAATACCGTTCTATTACAGACCAATAGCACCGTTCCGGAAACGTTCCGGAAACCTTTCTAATCTTACTCTGGACTTTTACTGAGAACGTTGCTGAGAACCTTTCTGGGATAGTATGCCCGATCTAGGAAACATTCTACGAACCGTTACGGAATTTACCGCGTCCATAAGTGGATCGTTCTAGATACCTTTCCTGAAATATATATTTATTTATTTTTGCCTTCCGACAATTGCAGATGTACCTCAGAAAACTTTCACTTAATGTCTCATACTCTACATGAATATTAAACCAATACGAAGTACAACAACATATGTAGGACTTATTTCTACTGTCATTTACATCGTAAAAGTATCTCCTCTTCAACTTACCAATGACAATCCTGATGGTATCCTATATGCGTTCGTAAGCTTGCTAAAATACTACTGCGTTGATGTCCGCTTGTAAAAGCTGAAATCCAACAAATGCTTTGATCCATGCTACATCTCCGTGTTGGAAAAGCCCTTTCATCTCCGTTCATGATAACATCTTACCCTATTCTACGCAAATCTGTCACATCTACTCTCAAACAAGACGTCAACTTCAAACGAAAACGCGTTCTACGATGCGTCTACACTCCATCCCCATATCATTGGCGTTGACTGGTCCGAGGTCGATCTTGTTCGCCTGTTTTCGGCGTCTTGACGCCCGCGCAATGCGAGCTTGTACCTCTGCACTCGCCGAGATATGGCCACCTGTGTAGCCACCGAAACGATCTGAAGAAGTCGTTCCTTGAAGACTCTGAAATATCGTTCTTCAAGTTGAACTTACTTCCTTAATAGCTTATTTTACCGCGCTTAGTGTGCATTATCACGTATACCAAAACCGGTATAGTTCTGTGCTACTGAAATCGCTATGGTGTATGTGACATCGTGTACTGTGTTGTACTCAAGAGAGTATAGTGGGGGGCCCTCGATATCGCCGGTTGAATAACGCTGGTGACCCTCAATAGCGCCAGTGAAATTGCTGGGCACAGCCAGAGCCAGCGCCACACCGGCGTTATTGAGGGCGGCACGCAATAACGCCGGTCTGGGCACCTCTACACCCCGCAATAGCGCCGGTTGGTTGTTTGACACACCCACAACCACACACCACGCACCTGCCCTACGGAGGTTACACACCAGTTGGGGTACACACGTGCATCTACAGACCCTACAGCTCTACGTAAAGGCGCACCATGCCATGTGCGGAAGGTGCATTGTGCAAGTCGCCCGACATTTCGCCAGAACCCCCTCATGGGCAACGCTGTCAGGGAGGATGTGGCGGGCGGCTCCACGGCAATTGCCGAAGCATCGCAGACGACAACGAAATGCACCGCATCTGCAGTCCGTGTCTAGCCAAAGCTGGCAAGTGCAAAACGACAGCGCCACCGGAGGGTGCTCGGGCTCGAAAATCCAAGTCCCAGAGGACGTTAAAGATAACGGGGGTGTAGTCTACGTAGTCAAAGCTGTTATTTTTTATTGTTTCGTTTCTGGTGTTTAATTTCGTTCTGTCTCCACCCGGCATAGCTGGTTTTGTGTCTGATTGTCGGCATGTGGCGCTTTACTCGCGGTCGTTTCTTGTTCTTTCTCGCTACTTGGATGAAGGGCGAAAGAGTGTTGTTGCACGTCTCTCGTCCACATCTATCTGCGTTGTTACCTTGTGCTGTTGTTCGAATCAGCAACTGTGTAACTTTTTCCATTCAATGGTGCATTGGGTGCAGTTGTGTCGTCACATCATTGTCGCGGAGTCCTCTCTAGTTTAGACTATACATCAACTTTTTCTTTTGCACAGCGCCTGTTTGTGAGGCAGGAGGATCAGCATGCTGCCGCCTCTCTATAATAGATGATCATTTAATGAACACAACAACTCTGTGCAGTCGAGGAACATAATTTTTCCTCTGCAGTCTGCCCGCTTCACCAGTCAATCATTTCTTAATAATCGATTTGTGAATATGTTGGCTAGTCGCTGCGCCACATGATCACCACAATCCCTCGATAGTGCCACCACCGGCAATATTGAGTGTTCTGACCCCTCAGTAGCGCCGGTTGTGGCGCTATTGAGGCACTTTTCCAATAACGCCGGTCGCTCTGAATAGCGCCGGTCGATGCGCTGGGCACATACCGGCGTTATTGAGGGCCCCCCACCGTACGAATAACAGCAGTCTTCATCAGTTGATACTGATACTTCCAACATTTCCCGCCGGGGTATTTCGCAAAGGAAATGTTTCTACCCCGACTGATCACAAAGGATCTGCGAAAAAACTCCGAGCGATGACCGTACAAACATACCCGCCGACTGAGGTTGAAGAAGTCTGTGTTGCAGAGTACAAGTAGGATCTACGGCAAACCGCGAGCGCGCGCGCAGTCAACGTGAGAAAAAGCTTCCCCCAATTGATGCGAGGTACATTTTTTCTGCAGTTTGTACCAAAACCAACCGTGGCACTACTGAAGGCCGAGATAAACAACGATGCAAGCATGACAGCAGTGGCTATGTCCTCTTTCGTCGCTCCTGCTAGGCAAGCGCACCTACGTCCCGAAGGGAAATCCTTGTATTTGTATGTATATGTATGTATATTAGGATATGTATGTTCGGTGATCATGTGTATTGCCATATGGAGGTAATGGTTGTGTTGGCAGATGATGGCACTACTTGTCCGACGGTACGACTCTGGCGAAGGCGGGAAAACAGAATAACTGCGGTAAACCGGCAGCACGGGGTCACCCACCAGGGTAAAGGTATGCACACGTGGTGCAACCTGGGAGACCCGTGAGGGATAACTCAGTTGCGATTACTCGTGTGGAACAGCGGCAGGCAGCAGTGGCTGTTTCCTCGGGTATTGGTAGGGAAGACTCGACGGAGGCGGGATCCTTCCTCCTGCTCAAGCAGGGGCTACTAAGACCCTGTCCCCTGTTTTATCCTTCCGCGGGGACTTACATCTCCTCGCACCTTCTGGAAAGAATCATTCCCTTCCATGTTGCTACACGAAAAATATTCAATGCAACCATGGGGACGCACATAAGCCTTGCACCCACACCTTTATATTACCGACAAGAACCACCCAACCAAGAGCGACCTAGACCCACACAACCTAGCACCTACACAGGTCAACACCAACCTAGCACCTATCCAAGCCATACCAACCTAGTTCGATCGCATAAACGCTAAACTAGCACCTATCCAAGCAATACCAACCTAGAGGTTATCCTATCAATACCAACCTAGCACCAATCCCGGCACACCAACCCAGAACTGAGCCACCCAGCGCTAACTTTGCCCTATTGCAGGCACAACAACCTAGAACTGAGCTACCCAGCGCCAACCAGCACCAGTGCTGACACACCAACCCAGAACTGAGCCACCCAGAGCTAACTTTGCCCTAATGCAGGCATAACGACCTAGCACTGAGCTACCCAACGTCAACCTAGCACCTATTGGGTAGGTTTGGGGTTAGGGTTTATGTTAGGGATGTTAGCCGGTTAAATAGTTGCTGGTTCGAGGGAACAGAAAACTCACCTGCTTGTAGTAAAGCGACAGGTGGAAGAAGCATTAAACGCATACATGTTGGTGACGCTCCTTCCTCACACAGGATTTCCGCCGGTAAAAAAGGTGGGGTGCATGGCTTATGTGCGTCCCTATGAGTGCAAGCAATTTTAGGCGTCTACACATCAAAAGGCTACTCGGAGTAAAACTCTAGCCCACCTTGGAGTTTCTCATACGAAGATGCCCTAACACCTCGGAGCTTGACACGCAGTTGTCGAATCCCTAAACGAGAGTATCGAGGATGTGGAGCTCCAAAACAGCACAATTACCCTCCGACACCTCTCACTCGAGGGGTCGCAAGACCATCGTTTGACTTGTTAAACGAAACGAACGCGCAGGACGAAACAGACAGAAGACTACGACGACCGCAACAGGTCAAAATCTAAGAGCAAAAACAGGAACAGTAAACACAATGAAAACAAGGAAACTAGAAGGAAACAAGGGTGGTCGGAACGGCAAAAAGGAAGGAACGTCGTCGGAACGACAAAAAGACCTGGCGACGAGGTCAAGTGTAAAGGTATGCACGCGTGGTGTAATCTGGGAGACCCGTGAAGAACTCACTGGTTAGTACTCGTGATCCTCTGCTCAAGCACTACAAAGATCCTGTCTCCTGTTTTATCCTTCTGCGGAAAATCACATATCCCCTCGCCTTCTGTTGTTGTTGTTGTTGTTGTTGATGATGTTGTTGTTATTGTCTTCACATTAGAAACCGTTCCGATCTCTCTCTACCCAGTACGTCCGTATGTCCGTACTGATACAAAACTCGACGCGGTCGATTCCCGTGGTCGCAGGTTAACTTACCCTAAAAAGGTACACTCAAATAAAATGGCCCCGAGGGGTCCGAAAGTCAATAGAAATCAACGACAGGTATTCTGGAGTCCTCCAATCCCTCTGCGCGCTATGCGAGGTAACAACTGAGACTAGGAGTCACCATCACGGGCCGGAGAGAATGAGGTACACCCCCTTGGTTCAATCTTGGTACTTCACAACGCAAGCAGAGACAAGGCCATCTGGCACAGAAAAAGCGAGGAAAAGAGAAAAAGAGAAAAAAATAAAGGAAACAGTAAGGAAGGAGAAAATGAAATAAAAAGAGCGAGGACAAAAAGGGATCAGGCCGAAAATTACAAGAAATACGAGACCGAAAAAGGCACACGGTGGAGAGACCACTAACGACAAGCAAACACGCAAACATGGCTACCAACCAGCGATACATTGCAATGGTACGTCATCACTAGGTGGGGGATTGGTGCAATGGTGCAGCGTTGGG